CAGTAAAATGAGTATTTTGGCGGTTAGTGTTCTACTGAAATTAGCTGCTCATTCCGATCATACTTTGTATTTTCCGGGGAGAGATTTAGATTCCAATGACGGAAGGGTTGTTTACATTCAGACCTCTTCGAAAATCCAAATTCTTTGATATTTAACTCGTTACTAATCTTGTTTGTATACCCTGAGTACAGACAATTCACAATTTTAATGATTTTTCGAGTAAAAAATTCCTCGCATATTTTCGTGAGTGGCGCTAATCAAGCCTCATAAAACTGCCCAAAACAAATATTTCAGACCCTGAATATTATATTTTAAATCTTTCTCGCATCAAGGAAAAATCCTTTTCCGTATTGAAACTAGCCAAGAAATTAAATATTTATCTATCAATCCCTTTCACTTCTACTTCACTCTACTTCTTCAACTAATTCATTTATGTACGCACGGCTGCGGGGCGTGCGGGTTGCACTTTAGAACACCCACGGTGCTATGAAATATTAGATTTCGAATACCTTATCTTACAAATATTGTTGTGAAATTCAGCAAAGTGGAATGCTAGAGTGCAATATCATCAGGACAGAAAAGCAATTGCCTCTTTTAACTTTGAAACAAAAGTAAGATACATTATATAATATAAATGTTGAGACATTTGTTTAAAACTGTTCCATCTTGATCACTGACAAGCCACTGAAAAGCTCCAAATTTTTACATATAATTACACTAAAACATCGAAATTTGGGGGCCAACCTTTCCTAGCTGTGCTACAATCTACATTCTGTGCGGTCGAGACTTCCTTTATTATGCGCGATTATTAACGAACAACATGATTACAACACCATATTATCATGTGCCAGGTTCCTGGTATTATTACGTAACGTTGACAGTCCATGTTATGTCCTTCGTCAACACAGTCCGCGTCCTTAGTCAACAACTTATGCAATATAAAACTGCTAAAACCGTAACTTGGAAGTAATTTACTGTAGATTGTTCACTGAGGAAAGAATTTCCGGATGTTGAGTAAATTGTTAGTACAACTTAAATAACAATGAGTAATGAAATTTCCAATCCAACTTTATCACCTTCTGTAGAATTAGCCAAGGCGAGAGACGTGTTAAATTTAGATCTGCATCCAGAGTACTATAATTATAGTAGCTACGTAATGTGCTAAATTCAGCCGCGTCAAATCATAGTGGCAATGGCGGAAAATTGCGGAAAGTAGTAAGATAGTTATGCTGTTAGGGGATATCGAGATTAACAGTGGCGAGACCCTGGTAATATCATTATACACTATGTTTTCATAATTATAAAGACTTAGTATCATATTATTATGATAAAATTAATTAGGGTACACGATTTCGATGAATCGCATTCATGATTACATTTTGTATCGTAACCTCTTTTTCTGGGCTGCATTAAGATTGTGATAATGCGAACAATTTAAAATTATGAAGATCGGATAACATTTTGAGTGCATTAAAATTACAGTAAATAGGTCTAGACCTCTCTAGGATTTACACAAGTAGTACCCGTATTAAAGCAAATTAGAGGTCAAAGTAACATAATTCAAACCATAATTAATCCTAGAGCAAGTCTCAACTGACATCTCAGACATGTGCAGAAAGTATCATTACAGGAACTGAGCTGATCAGACTGTAGCAAAATCTTGGAACATAAAGTCTAGTTAAGAATGTAATGGATGTTCAAGAATGTAATGGATGTTCAGTGTTCAAGGATATGTAATGACTGGTGATGGAGCAGGGAGCTAGCCATAGTATTTGTTCATTATCACAAGACTGTACTATTGAAGTTATTATCTTTTCTATTGTCATTTGTAATGACCCTGCTGTATGTTTCTATGGGTATACGATAACTAACACTCTGAGCACACAACTCTCATATTCCAACATTATGAACTGTCCCCACTCCCCACAACTAATATCATGTGCTGCACACTCTTACAATGATATCCACATTCCAGACACAATAACTCTACAAGACTCCAAGAGCATATGTTTAGTATTTACCTCATAACCTCGCCCTTCTAACCCACCTGCACCACACCACACCAACGTGAAACTATGACAACCACCAAAATCCAAATACACCACAAACGTAACGTGACCGTAACCACGTGACCGTAACCACGTGACCGTAACCACGTGACCCAGATACGTCACTTGTCAGGAGGGGCTGCTAAGCTGTAGACGATTAACACATCTTATCTGATACAAACAATCTGTCGTATCAATTATATGTTTCCAGAACTGCCCTCAAGTGCTAAGTGTGTTCAAATCATCAGACACCAAAGAGGACCACATAACGGACACATACCGGACACATACCGGACACATAACGGACACATACCGGACACATACCAGGCACATACCGGACACATACCGGACACATACCAGGCACATACCGGACACATACCGGACACATACCAGGCACATACCGGACACATACCGGACAGTGAGGACACATACCAGGCACATACCGGACACATACCAGGCACTATGAGTAGAAAAAACATCTTAACCTGGTAACCTTGTTATGTTGCCTGCACAAGAGCAATTCTTACTGCACATCGACATTTTTTGTAAACAATATGAATCCTATCTGCACACGATTTCATTTTGTCTGCACACTGAAATTTTCTCAAGGTACGCCAGGCACATACCAGACACATACCAGACACATACCAGACACATACCAGGCACATACCAGACAAACACCACCTGGGAGGGAGTCCCACATACCCGTCTCCCAAAACACCACACATAGTTGCCACACAATCCACACACTCGCTCCCAACTAACTGTGTTATTTAGACAGATGATGTGATGAGGTTCACGTGTTTAACAGACACTGATAATTACTGACCCTGAGAAATTGTGGAGAATTGAGGGGGGCTGGGAGGTAGGGTGATTACGGTGGTGGAGTGTTAAGTTTGTGGGATCACGTGATCTTTACAGCATCGATATTGAGGTTGTTTTACAGCTGGAGCAGCTACCTTTTCAACTTATTTTGATAAGTTTGGATGAGTAGTCAGTACTCAGTATTATTTGTAATAAACGGTAACACTAATTCTCGAGGATCATCATCATCTTAATAAAAGACATTATAAATCTCTTAAACAGAGACAATTACAATGTTTATATAGTTACTTCTCGCTTGTAACTAATAATAATAACTAGTAATAATAGATAATTCTAAACGGTGTAATCTGTCGATACACAGTACAGTTAGGGTCCAGTTAGGGCACAGTTAGGGCAAAGTTAGGGCACAGTTAGGGCACAGTTAGGACACGAACCGAGTATCAGTTAGGGTACAGTCATAATGCTTACTGCTTGGTGCTCGCCGAGGTATTTTCCCATTATCACTGGACTATGGAATTCAGTTTCTCTTATCAGTTGTAATGGTCCCACGCTATTGACTGTGTTGTTTGTATGGGTAAATGATAAATAACATACTATTCTAGACTTCAAATACATTATATAATACATGACCTTGTTTTATCCCTACAAAATGAACTGTCATTGGCTAGTAAAGCTAAGACCGCTACCAGCTTCTCCAGTGTCCAAGATTTAGTTTAAAATTCCAATCAGTGAAACATGAACCTCGCCCAGTGACACAGGCAGCAGGTATGATGTAATGTTTATAATCCAGCGGAGTGACAGATCACAGAAAGTGAAATTAGTGAAACAGAAAGTGAAATAAGTGAAACCTCGCCCAATGGCACGGGTAGCAGGCAGAGTTTCAGAGTATGATGTAATGTTTTAAAACTCAGCCAAGTGTTTAAAAAGTGACAGAAAATGTAAGGTGTGTCCGGCTCTCCACTTCCATTAGACTTCCACCCACTTAGACCGCAACACCAAATGTTAAAATATCTCCATCTGGGCGGAACTACTATTACCTGCCGGCAATCGTTGAATCGTGGGGAGAACGTGCACAATTCCAGGTCAGATTTAGGAAATTAAGAAAGTGGTTGATTAACCAAGTTAGGCACAAAGGAGAGTATAGCCTCCTTTTCTTATTTGAAACTACAACCGTGGCGCATGCTTTATACTACCACCGTATTCTTTACTAACTTTTTATGCGCTTGCTTCTGACGTCACTGGTAAATAGATCGCTGTATTTAAGTAAATTTCTCTAAAAAGGACCTGATATCTTCCATTATATCTAACATCTCACACCTTGAAGAAGCAACATTCACTCGGTAGCTACCAGCCAATCGTAGAACAGAAGTGGACACAGCTGACCAACCAAACGAGAGAGTGTCGCAGGGGTCAGCCAATGGGAAGCAAGCACGCGGTCACGTGACAGGAGCACGTGACAGGAGGATGTAAGCTGTAGAGGGGCCACCTAGTGCATGTCAGGGGCGACAAACTTTACACAAACAGATGTGAACCTTTTGAAAGTGTGTAAACTACAAGTAAACAAGTTATTTAGAGTTTTTTTAGTGTTAACTTATAACTATGATCTAACAGGCAAGGACGCATGGAGAGGAGAACTTAAAAAAGGAATAAACACACTGGCGGTTCAAGTTTAAATCATGAAACAACAGACCCACGTATGCGGACGGTTTTTAAAATATCTCACGTATGTTTCAAAAACATTTCAGACATATTTGACAGTGTTTTAGTGGAGTTTTCAGTGCTATAGAATGTGGTTGGTTCACGCTGCATTATTGTCAGACTGATTCCGATGGTTCGTGAGAAGTGTCATCCGTCATAACATGCATTGTCTAGCGGGGGAAAATCTTGCGGAGGTAAGTCTTGCGGAGGAGGGTCTGTCAGTCAGAGTTCCTTCTGTCTTATATTTATATATTATTTAAAACTGACATCTCCTGGAACAACTATGAATGTCTGCATCTATTTCTTTTTATGGAATAATACTGAAGTACAAGATGGAATACGCTAGAGATGATGGTCCAACAAAATAGTGAACCAGAAAATACCAGCGTAGTTAACATGGTTAACATAGGTAAGATAGTATCCACATACCTTTGAGACTCTCAAGTGTGAGTTTAGCAGCTAATCTCTTCTCGAAAGTGGAGGGTTGTGAGAATCTGGAGAGAGGCGAGTCCGAGTTCTCAACGTACTGACTGAAATTAGCAATTAATAATGAGTTATTATAACTAATTAGCATAAATAATTGATTTAATTAAGTGTGCTACATTAATGAGTTTATTAAATAAATTCTGGGATGAACATGGAACATAGCTAGTATTCCACGACCAGTTTTCATCGCGCTCACAATCTATGCTCCAATTCAAGGGATGCATATAAAATAACTTTTATTATATCAAGAAAATTGGCGACATATCGAAATTATTACTTAACAAGTAATTATGTTGTACAGTATGTGGACATATATATTCGTCACCACATTAGCTGATAGCATAGTTTATGAAGGAGCACTATGACATTAGCTGATAACATGTTTCAGGCCAGCTTACACATTATAATCGCAACAACTCCTATTTAGTATTTACCCAACACTCAATACATAGAAATTATCTGTAATGCTTTAGTTAATGCATATTATTAATACTGATTTTATTATTCAGATCCATTTTATCAATATCTGCTGTACAATATTAATCACATGCATGACTCATAATATAGCTCTGAGATTAATAATGAACAACAAAGACAGTGTAGCACTGTGTATGGAGCTCAAAATAGTCACACCAAAAACATGCGCGCTTTATTTGGCTTCGGTAGAGATATATTTACCATACAATTACACAACTCTACAAAGTGGCGGTTATTTACACATGGTACATGCACTACATGTTACACACCCGGGTGAAGTACCCACAAATACCGACATAATGTCGACATTCGCAGAAAATGTGCTATTTAGCTCAGAATCGATAAGGAAACACAAAAACGTTGGAGAACTTATGAGAAATAATTGGTAGCATATTTGATAAATATGTGAGTTGCTATAATCATAATAACACCACATTTTGATAAGACATTTTGACACTGCACATTATATTGATAACTCAGATAAGGCAGTAAGTAAGACAGTTTGACACTTCTTGACGTGCTATTTAACAAGAAGAGCAGAGGAAACTATACAGGACACAGTTCCCTAAACCTTGTATGTAGTAAAAAGAGAACTAAAGCTAATTTAGTTAAAAGTTAGCATCCTACATTCACACTCCCTGCTAGTTTACTTCAGATGTTCGGTTCACAGGTCAGCTTAAAGTGCATTTAAGCGTTTATTGCACATAAACCTAAGTGCACTGCATTGAATATACGAATATACGGTGATTTTAAGTGAGCTGACGGTAAATTTCTGAGAATGCTTGAAAATTGGAGGTTTCCACTTCTCACACAACATAAGAAGTATTACCGCTCTACTACCGTCTACAAAGGCACTTATCGTAATAATATTAGTGCAACTCTACCGGAATTAGATGACATTATTTCCTTGTAAGTTGTAATGACATTATATTTTGGCACCAGGTTTAATGAATGCAATTAACAGGAACGGAATGAATTTTAAAAACTTCGAAAAAAGTATTCAGATTGAAAAAAAGGAAAATGCATTAAATTACACACATATTATGATACATAATACGTTGTCTCTGGTGCTACCTGTTAAAGTGGTACAGTTCTACCAAAGAACACACAACTGACTATGTAAACAAGCGAGGTATTTGTACTGTACGTTACCTTTATCAGCAGTATTAGTAAACTATTAGTAAAGTATTAGTACAGTTAGTTGTCTGAGACCATGTACCTCAAGTGAAGGTAACACTGGGGTGTTTGTCAATTTGAACAAAGCTGAAACAGTGTATCGATAATCCTTACAGTAACTTTCTGATAACTTACAGTAACTTTCCTGATAACTTTCAGTGGTGACACTATTTCCACTGGGGGGGATGACCAGGAATAGGAACACACCAGCACACCATCTCCCGACACAGTATTATCTGGGGGGGGGGGGGGGGGGTGACCAGGGCTAGGAACACACCAGCACACCATCTCCCGACACAGTATTATCTGGGGGGGGGGGGGGGGGGATGACCAGGGCTAGGAACACACCAGCACACCATCTCCCGACACAGTATTATCTGGGGGGGGGGGGGATGACCAGGGATAGGAACACACCAGCACACCATCTCCCGACACAGTATTATCTGGGGGGGGGGGGATGACCAGGGATAGGAACACACCAGCACACCATCTCCCGACACAGTATTATCTGGGGGGGGGGGGATGACCAGGGATAGGAACACACCAGCACACCATCTCCCGACACAGTATTATCTGGGGGGGGGGGGGGGGGGGATGACCAGGGATAGGAACACACCAGCACACCATCTCCCGACACAGTATTATCTGGGGGGGGGGGGGGGATGACCAGGGATAGGAACACACCAGCCCACCATCTCCCGACACAGTATTATCTGGGGGGGGGGGGGGGATGACCAGGGATAGGAACACACCAGCACACCATCTCCCGACACAGTATTATCTGGGGGGGGGGGGGGATGACCAGGGATAGGAACACACCAGCACACCATCTCCCGACACAGTATTATCTGGGGGGGGGGGGGGGATGACCAGGGATAGGAACACACCAGCACACCATCTCCCGACACAGTATTATCTGGGGGGGGGGGATGACCAGGGATAGGAACACACCAGCACACCATCTCCCGACACAGTATTATCTGGGGGGGGGGGGGGATGACCAGGGATAGGAACACACCAGCACACCATCTCCCGACACAGTATTATCTGGGGGGGGGGGGGGATGACCAGGGATAGGAACACACCAGCACACCATCTCCCGACACAGTATTATCTGGGGGGGGGGGGGGATGACCAGGGATAGGAACACACCAGCACACCATCTCCCGACACAGTATTATCTGGGGGGGGGGGGGGGGATGACCAGGGATAGGAACACACCAGCACACCATCTCCCGACACAGTATTATCTGGGGGGGGGGGGGGGATGACCAGGGATAGGAACACACCAGCACACCATCTCCCGACACAGTATTATCTGGGGGGGGGGGGGGGATGACCAGGGATAGGAACACACCAGCACACCATCTCCCGACACAGTATTATCTGGGGGGGGGGGGGGGGGGGATGACCAGGGATAGGAACACACCAGCACACCATCTCCCGACACAGTATTATCTGGGGGGGGGGGGGGGGATGACCAGGGCTAGGAACACACCAGCACACCATCTCCCGACACAGTATTATCTGGGGGGGGGGGGGGGGGGATGACCAGGGATAGGAACACACCAGCACACCATCTCCCGACACAGTATTATCTGGGGGGGGGGGGGGGGGGGGTGACCAGGGCTAGGAACACACCAGCACACCATCTCCCGACACAGTATTATCTGGGGGGGGGGGGGATGACCAGGGATAGGAACACACCAGCACACCATCTCCCGACACAGTATTATCTGGGGGGGGGGGGGGGGGATGACCAGGGATAGGAACACACCAGCACACCATCTCCCGACACAGTATTATCTGGGGGGGGGGGGGGGGTGACCAGGGCTAGGAACACACCAGCACACCATCTCCCGACACAGTATTATCTGGGGGGGGGGGGGGGGGTGACCAGGGCTAGGAACACACCAGCACACCATCTCCCGACACAGTATTATCTCGCGAACATACGTGGACCAGGTGGCTAAATACAAATGGCTAAATACAGTAACGTAACTTGCTTGTGATAAATAATTTGTGTCGAACATTACACACAACACACTCATTCAAGCATTTGATTTGAGCTAGGCTATCTCTTAACTTTTTTCGTGACATGAGATCATTCTGCTTAAAACAAGTACTTTAGCACTACAAAAGATTTTGTATTTGAGTGCATGAAGAAAAGTGTTTGTGCAATTAAATCATGGATATATTAAGTGCACTAAGGAACAAGTTCACGAAAACTTCATATTTTCATTGAAAAACGAAACATCGTGCAGGTGAAAGAGCAGCAAACAGCTCTTGGCTGATTCTTAAGATCGTCGTGCTGGTGCATTTTTATCTAATAGTAACCAATTCGCTGCTGTATGTGAGCATATTTCATATTTGCGCTAAATTACAAAAAGTAATCCAAAACAACGAGCAAAGTACAAATAATCACTGAAATGGGAGAGAAACAGAAAAAGGGAGAAGCAGTTTTACGAAAATACGTCACCTTTTTATCTGTAGAAGTGCCTGACAGGCGTCATCAAACACCGCTTCACTGGCATTATTCCAGAGATTATCGTCCTCCAGCTCACCCTCTGAACAGATTAGAGGTGTGACAAGACCACTTTTCTTTGAAGGACTATCTACAAGACCACTTTTCTTTGAAGGACTATCTTCAATATCACTTCTCCTTGAGGACTGAGGAGAACTTGGTGCGCTGCCCTTGGGTCGACTTAGTACAAGATTACTTTGTTTTGCCATGCTGTCTTCGAGACCAATCTTTCTAGATTTAGGTGGACTTTGTTGTTTTACACTTCTGGGTGGCGCCCCATCATTCTCCGTACATTGAGTAGGTGTTTTGAGACCGTTGCTTTTAGGGGGACCTCCGTGACTACAGGAACTGGGGTCTTTGCTCAAAACTGCTACCTCGCTCTTTGAATCAGGATGAGATATTGGGGCAGGCTTGATGAGGGAGGCACCGTTTATCTCGGACTTGGTTTTGTCAACAGCAGGGTGATTACCACAAATCTTATCTATATCCTCAAAAGACAGGTCTTCATTCTCAACATACTCCAGAAGCATCTCCGTAAGAGAAGGAGTCTGGTTATCCGCTGTGTTGTCAACAGTTTCTATTGTGTTCAGTATTTCCTGTTCTAACTTTTCAATTTCAAACTTAGGGAGAGTGAACTCGCTTTTGGATCCGTTGACAGCTTCAAACAGCATTCTATTGGGTTTGAGTCTCTTTCGTTGACACGGAGTGGCAAGGGTTAAATCCACGTCACCATTATCACTACTCTGATGAGGTGTTGTATCAATTACACCTGGAGTCAGCACGGGGACAGTGCTCGGTGGAACTACTGGCAGTTTACGAGAGGACTTTATTTCTGGTGTTTCTGAAGAGGACTTTATTTCTGGTGTTTTGAGAACCATCTCATAGGATTCAAGGGTTGAAGCCAGGGTTACATTATTTAATTCTTTACAACCGTCTGTTACTTCACTCTCAAACTCTTTACCGTCTTCGTCAGTGTCGTCATTAAAGTCACTGAGGAGGACGTAGCTTCCACTGCCACTGAGATCTGGCATTTCTACAAGTGACCCCGACACACTGGATGTTACAGCATCACTTTCTTCTTGGCTTTTTTCAGACGAGTCACTGTTCACTGTCGGAACTATGCGCGTGTTTTTGGAATATTTTTCAGAGGGATTGTTACCTGAAGGGTTGAGTTGTAGTGTTGCATCTCCAATAGCAACCCTCGCCAAATCTGCATGTGTCTCTTTAAAAGAGTTTGAAGTTTTAGACAAACTCTTGGTTAGTTCAGAGATATAAGAACGTTCTTTAGATTCTTCTGCTATTGATTGAGGCATGGCGACGAGTGAAACCTGTTTACTCACATTCACATTGAGTCCTTGATTGCATTTATCATCATCATGGGAGCTTGTGGTAGTGATAATTTTCTTGGGTTCCACGATATCTCTTGTCATATCTTTATCTTTTATATCTTTGTCGTATGTCAAGGTCAGATTTCTAGCAGCATCCTCAATTCTAGTCGCAATGTCAGCCACGTTATAATCTTCCTTACTAATTTGACGGCATAAGTCGGTATTTTTATTCAAATCTTTTCCAACAAAACAAACATGATTGTCGGCTTTATTTTCCTTATCATCCACATTCGTATCCTCCTCAATGGTCGATAGGATCCCATCAGTATATCCCCCTGTGTTGCGACAAGGATTTTGCTGTTGTGGCTTAGGAAGGGTCCTGAGAAGTCTCATTGGGGCGAGCTTATGGTTAAGTGGATATTCGTAGTCAGGGCTATTTCTACCGGTGCTACAATCAATATCGTCGATACTTTGAACAAGCAACTCTTCTATGCTTTTCTCGGTGAATTTTGATATTTTAGTTTTGGTTGGAAGGGACTTTATCTTTGGCGTTCCCGGTGCATCAATTGGATCATTGGAACAGATTTCTTGATCACGAGTAGACAGTAGAACAACTTTAGTAGTGTCACCATGATAACTAGTGTCACGTGGGACATCATCACAGTCGATTTGTATCGCAGTTTCCACTCGCTCTGTATCAGAAGTAGCCATGGTGTGAGCGGTAATGGAGGAATGTAGCTCAGGTTCTTGAGAGTAAGACTGGATGTTAATCATTGAAGTTGTGGAAGACATCATACCCACGTTTCTCTCTGCAATATACGATGAGCAAGGGTCACTTTCAGCGTCCTGAAATTCATCATCAATTCCTTCCTCTCTTTTAATGTCAAGTTTTGAAAACTTAGCAGCCGAACTCACGGACTGGCCAACTCTTTTCCTAGCAGAAGAAACACCACTCTTATTTTTCACTGCAGACGGAGACTTCTTCATCAGAATATACTCGCCCGAATCTCGCTTCAAATAAAACTGCGTCTTGTGAATGAAGCCTGCCGTCTGTAACACAACAGATACAAACGACCACCAACACACCACGTAGAGGTTCCGAGTGGCCACGTGGTCTCTGACTCCAGCTAGGGGCAGGTCTTGTAGCGGTACCACTAAACTCAGGTACACAAGAACCCACTCAATCCAGCCGGGCAAGAAAATCACGTACACGCTGTTATCGTACGGACGATAGTTCAAGGTAGCTGATTCAGAAAGCATGTCGGTACAAGAGGAACAAGGTACAACAACAAGGTAACTAAGCAAGAGGGTTATAATAATACACACTGAGTATAGTGACCTAGGAAGCTCCAAGCGGTTATAATTACTTTTAAGTGCGGCTGGTTCGACAAACAGAGTGCACTCTGGTCATCCTCCCACCGGGCTAATTGACCTTTCTTTATTGGGTTGTGGAGCAGTGGTAATGTAAGCCATTTGGAGCAGATATCCCAGACTAATGGATACACTGCGATTGGTTGGACTGGATATAGTGTAGGGTCTCAGTTTTGTAATAATACAGCCCCCAATCTCCTGCAGTACATAATGTTTAGCACAAACATGCCCTTACAGTTACATCCGCGTTATGTTTAATTGTTATATAAATGTACTTTATTTAATAATCCCCTGACAAGCTCCTCTACAGAAAGGAGGATTGTTCACCCAACAGGGTGTTACATGATCCTGGGAGAATATTCTGGGGTTAAACGTTAGTTAACACGTGGTGTAACGTTAGTAAACACGTGTTTACTATAATACGTCTTGCACGTTATAAAGGTATTTCTGATTGGCGACTAATTGATATTGGTGGGGTTGGTTGCACGTCTTATTATCGCAGCAGTGTGTTCGGTTATTGCATGGTTATTGTAATTGTTTCCCAACATGGTCATATCATGTGAGACATGGTTATTGTGTCACTACACTCATGTCACAAACTTATAACGGCTCGTGTGTTGAAGCCAACTAACGACAAATTTATGTCATTTTTTTCACTTGCGTCGGTGTACGTGAACATTTCGAAAGATTTTTCTCGGACAGATTAAATGGTTTAAATGTCACATACTTCGCCGGTCACATACGTTTCCGGTGAGAACTTGCTAAATATGACACATCATCTTGGTTAATAAATATATTATAAATTTAGAATTTAGATTGATGATTTAACGACAGACAGACTATTAGACTTACAGAACTACTATTTAGTATATATTCATGTTTCCTCAGAATGTTGTTAAATCACCGTCTCTACGCGTACGTCAGAGCAAAAATTATCATTAAAAATGTAAATATTTTGAATATCACGTCACGTTCGCCAGGTTGAACTGAAGATTAAACTCAATTTCAAGGAGGTAATTGAAATGTACAGTTATACAGTTACTTCACATCAGAACCCCGAGAGAAAACGAGTTGGGACAACTTACCAATTAATAAGGGAGCTAAGGAGAGCTTAAGAGAGAAAAACATGCTGAGAATCAATGCAACGAAAAGATCAAGAATTTAACAGAAATTACCATAGCAAGTGTGAGGACGGTGCTAAATATAACGATAATAAAAATGAAACGGATAATCAGGGACGGTTAATAGAGTAGAGGCTATTGGATACCTGTCGGGACAAGTTTTGACTGAGGCGGTTGAGGGGGTTTTAATAGTTTTTGGGGCTTGAATCTTTGAGCGGTTTGGGGTCATCACTCTCTGTAGGTCAGGGGTCATGGTTTGTCTCCGGGGGGTCATAGCTTGCTTCGGGTTTGGTTTCATAGCTTGCTTTTGATTAGCAGCAACAGCTGGTTTCTGATCTGAGACAACAGCTGGTTTCTGATCTGAGACAACAGCTGGTTTCTGATCTGAAACTGCAGCCTGTTTCAAGTTGGGGATTACAGCTTGTTTCTGTGGGACCACTTTAGCAGGGTTCTGTAGTTTGGATAATCTTGAGTTGTTGGGGGCTGTTGTGTTTCTGAAATTTTCTGGTTGTTAAATTCTAAAGACCAGATAAATTAGATCAGGAACATTCATCTCCTCTCCTCTCCAGGTCACACTTCAGCAACTTAAACTCTAGCAAGCAATTAGTTTTAAAAACTAAGTAGCTTTTATCTCACATGTGATAAAATGATAACTCACAGGCACTAAATTTAACTTACATCAACACTCATGCCACACCACCCTATATAATTCTAAAGACAAAAAGTGAACAGCAAGCCCAAAATAAATCCGGAATTAGCTAGATTCTTACGGAATCATGGTGGTACACTTACTTTCGTTTCGAGGTCGGTCTCTGAATAGTTCTCTTGAGCATATCCTGAAACCAGTTAAATTATCATTCTAGTTGACTTACTTGAAGGATTTACGGCTTGATATACGATAAACAAGTCATAATATAAACTGTTGAATTTTAGGGCATGCTGTATTAGAACTGTGTAACATCACAATGTTCATATCTTAAAAATTCGTACAATAACCTTTAAGTTGTCAATGCTCTCTTCAATCCAGACAGACATAACCTGTGACATGTCATCAACACTGTCATCTGTCAACCTGTCAAAAAACATATTATAGACTTCAATGAGTACATCTATATCAGTTTATAGATCAACTGTACCGGCTATAAATTGTATAATGTGGTCTGAGTAGAATAAATAACTAAATAACTACTAAATCCAAAGACACCAATTTAATCAATAAAGTAACACCAAATATCAAACATTGGATACCACTGACACCATCACGTGATCAGAGATTAACACTTTCATGTCAAAAATTATAAGATAAATTTCAATTTTACTAACCCAAAGTCATCTGCCATTTCAGCTATCTCCAGTAATCCAGACAAAGCCTCCTCAGTGTCAAACTGAGCGGAAGACCTGTTCTGAATGATCTCGATAGGACCATGAATATCTTTGTCATATGAAACATCTGCAAGCCCCTCAGCTTCGATCAGCTGCAGTTCGGCAATTGTCTCGTCGAGAAGATCATCATTAATTAACATCATGTCGTTTGAATTATTCATCCAAAGCTCATTTTCATTGTGATACAAATCATTTCCATTATTCATCCCAATCTCATCTGTATTCTGATATGCAGAATTTTCATCATTCTCAGTATTCAAGTGTATCGTTTCACTGGAAATGTTAACTGCTTCTGAAGTAGAGTTGGCAGAGTCACCAAAAACATCATCAAGGTTACCACTCTTGACAGTCTTGTCCACAGGAGGTCCTTCAGTAGCATCATCAGACAGCAATTCTAGAATCTCTGCATCCCCTAAACTATCATTATCACTTTGTGATCTATCCCTCTTTACAAGGAAATCTTGTGAAGAATGGAGAGGAGATTCAACTTGTGATGAAACAGAAGCTGATCGACTTGTGGGATTGACAATTCTAAATTCCTGGCTGTTACTAACACTACTCCTAGCACTTCGTGGAGAATTGATAATCTTTTCTTCCTTAACAGGTGATGGGGATATGAATTGTTCGACAACAGGTGGCGGTGAGTTGATAACTTTTTGTTCTGGTTGTGAGGGGGATACTCTTCTAGGTTGTGGGGAAGATCTAGGACTCAGAAGATGTTTCTTGTCAGGGAGCAGAGGCGAATTCTTGAATTTATCTGATGAGGAGCATTTTGAAGGAAAGCCCTTATTTTGATTAACATCATCTTTGTTGAATGATAGATCTTTATTGAATTTTGAAGTGTCTGGTTTTGAGTCACAGTTAACATTAATGTACTCAGGTGATGTGGGACTCAATGAATCTGCCATAATTTTAAACTAAGATGGTCCTAAAGTACTCCAAACATAAGACAGTGATCAAGAGGTTTGTTCGTTCTCATTTATCATACCTGAAAAGTTAGTAAATAAACGAAAATGCAGGATCATTTTAACTGAAGTAGAAATGATAATTGTGAACTTTAATTATTTGATATAGGCAATACCAAATTGTTAAGTCATATAAATGAACCAAATGAAATTGCAAAGGCTACTTTCCGGCATCATCTCCTTATCTAATTCAACTACAGGGTGGGCCAAAAGTCAGTACCCATACGTTGGCCTTTATAGATTAGTCACTGAGTGCCCAATTGAAATAATTCTTTCTGGTATGACTAGTACCACCACCGGTTCGAGGAATTTGTCATCCCAAAAAATATTTGTGTTAATTTTTTTTCGAATAAAGGTTCATTTTCGCATTTATTTGATAATTTGGGTAGTCAGATAGAGCTAAATTTTATTGAATTGTGTTTGGCCATTCAAATTACATAAGTCCTGAAAAAATTTAAGTTCTCAGATGGCCGAGATACGAAGCATAACGAGTTTGTTCATTACATGTGATCAGGTGATTGGCTTACCTAATCACGTGATAAGGTGACCTGTTTACTGCCCTGTAAAACATTATGGGAATTGTTAAGGCTGCCCAATTAAGGTGTCGTGTCACGGTGTCACATAATCACCTAATCAATTTTGCTAACGAGATACACAAAATGATTGATAAATTCGTTATTTCTTATCCGTTTCACATCTTTTTCAGATCAGATGCAAAATGTAATAATCTACTGTCTCTGAAAAAATTAGGCCAACATGTTCAGAGAGAACAATATAGGTGTTTTAATTTTGAATGGGCATGGTCTAAAATATTCGAATTTTCAAATTTTGGCGATGGAATCCTCGAACAAATAGGTACAGTATGCCATTTGCAAAGCAACAACTCTCAAATATAAAACACGGCGGAGGTACAAGACCCAACGTGTGGGTACTGACTTTTGGTCCACCCTGTACAAATAAGTTTAACAAGCCTGAAACGGAAGTCTCTAAATACTCAAACTAAGGTGCCCAATATCAGTGCATCAGCATTTTGAGGGCGCTAACAGGCAACGTTACGGCCACTGCCCCAATCGTTTATGTTCAACGTTGTCAATTGTTCGCTAAACTAGATTACATTGATGTTTAAAAGTAGATTCGTTGTTATCGGAAGTGAAACATGCAATTGCAAATTAGAGAACTAGCTGAGAACTTGAGCCACTATATTAGAAAAAGGAAACAAATAGATAATTAAAAATTTGGTATTCTGACTACATTGAAGGAAGAACTGAAATCATACAGTAATCGACTAAAATTGCTTACTGTTCAAAACTTGTACAAATACCACTGTATATCTGAGATATTTCGAATTATGAAATTTCGCACTCCATACGATGTAAGACTCATTAAAACGTGATACAAGCAATGTCATAATCATCCCAAGAAAAACCAACACTTTTCTTTATATAGCCTCCAAATTGTGGAATAGAATACATAAACGGATTCTAAATGAGAATGGGGAAATCCTCACTACTTCTGTATCTTTGGTTAAATTACGCTGTAAAAGTATCATCCTGGGATTTCAATCCATCAACAATAATAACACCTGGACTTATATATATTACCACAACTTTCACATCGCCCCTCATTCAGTCACAGACCAAACCAGTTCATCACTCACTCACCAAATTGCCGACCCAATATCTATTGAAGTGGCGAAAATTTTCTAGACAAATGAAATATCGATATTATTGCTGCAGCAGATACAAATACCAACATTATTATATTCCCAAACGTTTGAACCTTTAAATTAACTAGGAAAGTCAATCCTCAACTTAACTTTTACTGTTTTAAACAGATAATATGATGATATTAACTTAACTTATTATTATTATTTTTTACATACTCCTTCTTAGTGTGGTGACTTGGGGTCCATAAATATAACAATACAAGCTAATAAACCAAAAAGAACAACTGGGGTAGGTAGGTAGCCCTGGTGGGTGCGTAAACTTTATGGTCTGCTCTCTCCAAGTAGATCAGCCTGCTTCTCCATTTTACAGTGAAGCCTAATTTCTAGTTTTTATAAAATATACAATGCAAGTGCAGGTTTACTAATCTTAATCTACTTAACAACTCAATAGCCCAAGTCACCATACCCGTAGTATATTTCATGGTAATAGAAGAGCTTTAAAGTTTTTCAAATTGTTGCTATAATTGATTTAAATAAAAATTTGTTGTTTTCTTGAAAATTTGTTGTTTTCTTGATGTTAGAAAGTCGATTGTTAATCAATCATCCTGTAGAAAAACAGCTGTGAAGGACATAATAAAATAAAGTAGTAAAAATATTATGATATTCGACTTGGAAGAAGAAATTGAGAAACAGTGAATATCTTCACATTTCTGGGATTGAGGCTTGTCTCACTGCTCACGTCGTGATGCTCATCGTCATTTCATTTACTCGTGCGCGGCGGGCCCACAACGTGAAGCAAATTAAGGCAACCAATTAGCAAATTGCTATATTATAACCTATATGCTATGTAATTCTGCAAGTTTATCATTAACATTAAGTTAAATAAGGAATACAGATTTTGTGGAATACAAATTTGAATTTTAATATTTATTACATATTAAACATTTACCATGTACGTGTTTTCACGCCGCTGAGGGCGCGCTTGTCTAAGTAAGTAATTATCAAAGTAAAACATGAACAACGGGTAAGGCGCGTGTCACTGCAAGCTGGTTTTGGTTAGATCAGTAGCTTACCTGAGGACCCCAGTGCCGCGGCCAGGCTATTATTTGATTGACGATGTCAATCCGTCGAGATCGTTGCTCTGCGAATTAAGCAGAGCAACGATCGTCGACGATCGAAGCAAGAATGCTAGTTCGCGCGGCGCGTCGAAGCGGCGAAGTCCTCCAAGGCTATTATGTTCATAAACATAGCCTGGCGTAATTGAACCCTCTAAAATGCGCAAATAGGCGCGTTTATGCGATTTTACAATCAAATAATCATATTTTACAATCTAACTCCAAACTCATCGCGCGGCTTTTGTAGCGCATACGTTTCACATCTGTGTTTACGCGTACTGCGTGACGCGCCTTCGGCGGTCGCGCGCTACTGCATACTGCAAGCGAAAGGACTCTGGTTAGAGCAACGCATACGTCACTGCTTTTTTATTGGTAGTTGGCGTGCACGTGATCTTTTGCGCGGCTGTAATTGGTTCAGAATGATCACGTGAATGCGAGTCTCGTGCGTTTTAACATCCAATGAGCATTCGCACATTTTACAGGGCGATGGAGGTCGTAATTCACTCAGCCCGAATAAAGATTTAGCGCAATTAGATTTCCTGAAAATTTCGTCAAATTTAATTAATCACAGTGGTGAGTGGGTGTGGCGAGCGTTCTAAATCACTTTACAGTCGATCTTCGAGATTGTTCTAAAAGGGCCCCCCGACAGTTGAAACCAACTTAAATCGATGTATTTTCGGACGCTGATTCCGAATCACCTCCCATGACATAGAGTTCCGGTTAAAATCAAAAATGCTCCCCTGACGAGATATAGGCGAAAAATTGTCTCGATCACGTGATATGACCGTATAAGGAAGTTAATCTAATTTCTCGTTAGGGTTAGGGTTTCAGCATATGCTTTTGTTAAGGATTGGGTTAGGGTTAGGGTTGGTATCAGATAAGAGGGTTTGGGTTTCGAATAGTCGTTCAGGACCAGCTAGAGAACGGGTTGAAAAAGTCACGTGACAGTCGATCTTACCTGGGGACCTCAGGCTATTATGTTCATAAACATATAAAATAGAAATTCGGCGGAATGACAGGCTGAGCGCGGCCCAGTTGTAAGTGACACTGACAGTCGAGTGTAAAGTGATTAATTATCATCCTGGGTGTGGCACGCTAATTCCTTTTTTTCACTATTGTCACCATAAAGTGATCGAACGCTTTCAGCTAGGAATTGAATTTCAAAGTTTCTAGACACATTTGGTTTGATAATTAAATTGAAGTGCTTCCCCGTAATTTCAAGTCGAGTTATTACCCTTTAAACTTAAAAATATTGCAGATACGTGATCTCGGCACTTAATCAGTGATCACCCAATCAGTAATCTCATCGGGAGCTATTCGCTAGCGAGCAACAATTAGCCTCATTAGGCAGTAACAAGCATGTTGGTGGATGACGATCTGATCATTTTGGGTGAATACTGATAGTGACGTTCCTTAGAACCGAAGAAATTCGCGTTATAGCGTTTCGGTTGCTGTCCTATAAGCAATCTCCAACCAATCAGGGCATTGAGGAGGGCGAGTTGCTCCCCACTCCGGAATGCGGAAGAGATATACAGGAAGGGTGATCCTGTGATCACGCTGACTCTTGTCAAGAAAGGATCGAGGGGAGTGACGAGAGTGATTGCATCTCTCGCCGACTCTTTCTCGTCCCAAACACCACGACAATAACATCACTACTCCCGATACCTGGTGGTTAGAGGTGGCGGATCGGGCGGCGGGCCTTGGCATGAGCGGCGATAATCAGCAGTCTCTTAGAGGCTGGTTGGGAAGTCTGGAACCACTACACTTTCTGCTTGCCGAATCAGCTATCGAGCGTGGGTCCTAGCGCTAAAAGGCTAGATCCACTCACACTGGTGCGAGGACTCATGTACGGGAATGCAGCGCGTAGTTTACCAAGCGGCTCGCTGCGACATCAGACATGTGTCGCAGCGAGCCGTGGTGGTTGTGCGAGACAGTGGTTGTGCTAAATGTGCAGCTACCTGAAGGTGGGGGCCCTTCAACGCAGAGTAGGCAGAGGCAGTGAATCTGGGTGGATGTCTCACCCGAGGGTGAGACGTTCTTAGAAAGTCACGACTTTCTCCTGGAGACTTACTTTGGTTACTTTAGTGTGCTTCATAGACTATCGGGTCATTATATTATTATATTATTAGAGTTGCTGACCACCCGGGTCCCGGACATCGAGATCACTGCTTTTTATTCCACTCCAGTCCAGTAACGAGTTTCCATTTCGACAGCTGTATCCTGTCACTAGAGGCTCATCCGGGAATGA